AGAGACAATTCCTTCCCATTTCTGCCCCCCATCTGTGACACCCCTGGGGATGAAACATCAGGCCATGTCCACAAGACAAAAAGCAGAGTTTGCTGTCAACCCAGGGGCCCTTCCCTCAGAAGGAGACAGGAAAGAAAACAGTTTAATTGTTGAAAAAGCACTGAGCAGAGTGCGGCACTCATTCCAGGCAGCACAGCTAAGAGACTTCAAGGACAGACCTGGCCCTGGATGTAGCAGCCGTCCCAACTGTGTCCCCAGAGAATCAGGAACCCGAACATGCTGCAGGGAGAGGTCTGTGACAGCCCCCACTGCCCTGAGAGGGGGCTTTGCTGGTTGACGTTATCAGAAAGAAAAAAATAAATGCTTATCTTTAAGACTGTTTTCAACTGCAGCCAGGCGCCTACTGAAGTCAGACGCCCACCTCCCCAGAACCCGGCAGATAAGGCCGCTGCTGTCTCCCATGGAGATGACATTTCCAGCAAATGGGGCACCCGGGCCTCGTGGGAAAACATTCCTGGAATGGCTGGAAGACTGGTGAGAGGCTTCTCTGGTTTCTAAACAGATGTACATAAAAAGAGATGGAGAAAGAACCTACAATTGTAGAGTATCTAAAGGGAAAACTCTAGGAAAGAGGGGGAAGTCTGTTTCCTTTGATTGAGCCCAAGAGAATGAATTTATTCTTACTTATTTTAATAAGTTAATTATGTATATGACCAGAATGTTGTCCCCACTTCCAGACAGAAAAACAGAGGTACCCCAAGGTAAAGCAACCTGTCCAAAATCACACCTTAGTGTATTATTATTATTATTACTATTATTATTATTATTATTTACCTTGTTTATTTTTGAGGCAAGGTCTTACCTATGTTGCCCACACTGGCCTTGAATTCCTGGACTCAAGAGATCCTCCATAATAGCTGGGACTACAGGTAAGTGCCACTACAAGTGGCTTCCTGTTCTTTTGTCATTGATACGTGACAACTGTACATGTTTATGAGTATGGTTATATTTACAAGTATGTCTATTCTGTACATGTGGTACTGGGAATTGAACCCAGGGCCTTTGCACCGAGCTGCACCTCAGCCCTTTTTTTATTTTTTAATTTGAGACAGGGTCACACTAAGCTGAGCTCACACTTGTGGTCCTCCTGTGTCAGCCTCCCGAAGTGCTGGGATTCGAGGCGTGTGCTACCGTCCCTGGCCATGTGTACATTTTACAGTGGCCCAATCAGGATGAGTGTCTCTATCCACCCAAACACTTATAATTTCTCTGTTGTGAAACTATTCAACATCGCTTCTTCTAGCATTTTTGAAACATGCAGTATCCCTCGGGTCATGCCACTCTGTCATAGCACCCAGAACCTCTTTCTTCTGGTGAAGGATGACTTGATACCCCTGACCCATCCCTACCACGCTTCCCCACCAAGGCCCCTTTAGTCTCAGCAAGCGCTGTCCCACTCTTAACTGCTGTTAGCTTTCTCTTTTATTTGCCCCACTGTCTGGCAGGCTGGGCAGGGGCAGGGGCAAGGGCAGAGCAAGAGGGGAGACACCAGAGGGTCCGAGAGGCAGAGAGGGAGTCTGGAATCGCACGCCATGCCAGTTACAGTTAAGTAAAAGAACAGGTGTCAAAGTATAGCACACGCATGATCATTTGTTAGGTCTCAGACCCAAAGTCTCGGGTCCTGTGTTTCTAGAACAAGGGGTCTTAACCAAAGCCCATGGCCCAATGATATAGGAAAGGATACATCCTTTCAAGACCCCCTTGCCTTCGGCTGGAGTGTGGCTTGAAGTTATTTCTCATTCGTAACTTTCTCCCCTGGATTTCTTACCTGATTAAAGCCCCTGAGGGAATACTGAGTAACTAGAAGGGATGGGAAAACATTTTCCAATTCCAAAGCCACTTCTGAGTAAAACACCGATAAACATCCTAGTGACATGAGCTCCCGAACCCCAGGCATAATCTGCAGATACAGAAAGTGGTACCCAGGTGCCTTAGTTCCTCTTCTCTTGTTGCTGAGATGAAATACCTGATGCCCAAAATGAAGGAACGAAAGGTTTATTTAGGCACAGTTTATGGACGTTTCAGCCCATAATCAGCTGGCTCCAAGGCAGGGTGATGTGGCACGGGGCAACCAGTCAAGGCATCAGGAGAGAGCGAAAGCAACAAGAGCCAAAAAGGGGGGCGAGCAAGCCTCTCCCTCGCTTATAATGTAGGCAGGCTGCCCCGCCCCCAGGGAGGGTGTGTGTAGCACTCATACCATCTCTGTGTCTCCTGCTGAGTGCCTTAGTGAAATTCTAAACTTCTCAGGTTGACACGGTAGCAACCATGACACCAGGCTTCTGCTTCGTGGCAGCACCCTGCTTCCCACGAAGACCTAAATCCTAAGTGATTTTTTTTGTATCAGGAACTGAACTCAGGACCTCACTCTTGCCAGGCCGGCACTGCGCCATTGAGCTGTCTCCCTGGCCCATGAAGGTCTAAGTCTGTCACCCACTTCCTAGTGAACTCTCCCCAGACCCCTGCGCCAAAGCCTGCGTGTCTCGATGGAACTCTATCATCAAGGGCACAAATGGACTGAGGAGGTTCACGAGGGCTGATCTTCTCGTGTCAGAATCCGGCTCCCTAGTCGCAAGCTTGCAGCAGGGACCTGCAGGCCTGGTGTTGGGCCACCACCCCAGTGTGCCCCCTCCTCTCCAGGAGATCCCCAACAGTCCACTTCAGGATCTACCGCCAACATCCTCAGCTGGAAACCAAGCATGCCTTCCTGGCCTCTCCCCGTGAGCGCCGGATCCCTGCTCCCTCCCTGCTGCAGATGGCCTCATGCGGGCTGTGGAGGCGAAAGGAGCCCAGTTCCTCTGGGGAGCCCATAAGTTTGAATCTGGGCGCTGACTCCGGGTTCCCGCAAACCACACCGACAGACCTGCCTAACCGCCTCACCCCGCACTGTCCAAGAGAGACAAGAGCCGGAAAGACAAGCTGCACTGAGAGTAAAAAGACACAGTGAAATTAGTTGTGGCCCATTTTTAACCTAGAAGAGCCAAAATGTTGTCACTTCAACGACTACTGACTGTAAGTGATGAATAGATACCTTGCGCTCTTTTCGTTCCTAAGCCTTCAGGGTATGGCGTATATTTTACCCTGGACCACAGTGTAGTCACACCCACCACAGCGTGTGGTGCCCGCAGGACGGGGGTACTCTCAATCCCTGTGCCTTACACACTCACACCCCACACAAGCACCACACCACACATATAACACACATGCCATATACCACACACGCCTGCACATACCACACACAGTATACATACCATGCACTGCACATACCTACACCCACCACTATTGTAACATTGCACCATACCACATACCACACCACCCACCACCCGCACACAACACATACCACATACAGCACACATGCCACGTACTACACACACACCTTCATACACCACTATTAAAACACCACACACATCAAACACAACACACACATACCACACACACATCACACACTTATGTATCATCCACAAACATACTTAAAACACCACACACACCATACAATATATACATACCATGTCATAATGTACACATACACCACACCACACCCTACACACACACCACATATAATATACCATATGCAACATATATCATACCTCATATACCATAGCACCCCCCACATAGCAATCACACCAGACACTAGACACCATACACACAACAAAAATACTGCATTATACACATACCAATACCTAGCTATACCCAAATGCATACACAAACACACACACACACACACACACACACACACACAAATGCAAACAAAAATATGCCCTGCCCTTCCTGTACTCCAAACTAACAAGCTGAATTGGTGCAGAGAGGGCTAATGAACACGTCACTGTACCAGCAGTGCAAAAGGGAATTTTTTTTCAAAAGAAAAGTCATGACTCAGACACAGAATGAAGCGAACACCTGCGTAAGGTTGTATTGGCAGGACGAAGCCTCCGGACGACATGCAGCGGGGTCTGCAGTGCAGACAGCAGGGATGCGCAGCTGGATCCTGCTAGTGCGTATGACGGCGGAGTTGTGGAATTGCTCAAAAGTAACGAGCAATGAAGAAGCCACATCTGATGATAACCAGCCACCGGCCTCTCACACCCTCCCTGGAGAGGCTGCTTCAACGTAGGAAGGGGGCTTGTTGAACAGGCAGCCCCGTGACAGCGGCGTCAGGACAGCTCTGGGGTCTGCATGCCCTGTCCTTTCCTGGTCCTTGGTTACTTAGGAGCATAGAAACTGCTGTGAGTACTTTAAGGCTCAAGTCTCTCCTTAGTCATTAACGTGCCAAGTCCCAGCTAGAGATCCACACTGAACAGCTCTTGAGGCGAAAGGCCTCTCCTCCTGGGGACTCAGGAAGGGACCGGGCACCCCAACCTTTTCTTGCACCCTCCCTGTCACCTCCCCAGCTGAAGGAGTGCAGCCTGGCAAGGGGGTACAGAGGGGGCACAGAGAGCTGCTCCTTGGCTTGGTGTGGCCCGACTGTCACTGCCTCTCTGTCTGCCCCCCAGGTGCTGTACAGTCCCCTGTGGCTCCTGGGGTACCCTGATGGGGGTCGCTTTTCCCTCTCGCCCCTGGTTTCTACAGATAAGGTGGGGTTAGGGACATTCCCAATTCAGGTGCCTGCCATTCTTAGGCTGGAGGACCCTCTTAAGTGGCACCTTGCATTTCTAGCTCCTCCTTTGAATGCCACCATGTGCAGCCTGGAGCCACCATACTGTGCATAGCTGGCACGTGGGGTGGGTGCAAAGCCCAGCTTTCTCTCCCCAAGAGCTCAGTTCTCTGGGCCTCAGTATCCTCATCTGTAAATGGGGCATGATCATGCTCTTATTTGCTGGGCAGCGTGGGGTGAGTCCTGGGGAGGTGATGTGCGGTGCTCTCTCCGGTAGGTAGGCCTGTGCGGGCCTTTCCCCTGTCCTCCCCACCCCCCCGCTGTCACAGACAAGCCAACGCAGTGGTTCTTGGTGGGGACGGAGTTTATTGAGGTGGCCGCCAAGCCTACTCCTCCTTTTCATCACCGTGGGTGATGATGTAGCACAGGGACTTGTAGTCGATGTTGCCAGCCAGGTCCACGGGTGTCAGGGCGAACAGCTGCTCCACCTGGGAGGCCCCACAGTGGAGATGTGGCCTTGGGTCCCCCAGGGCTGTGCTCTGAGCCTCAGCCTCTTCCACCCCAAAGCCAAAGCTGGGGACCAATGTTACCCTGTTGGCTGGTGCTGGGCAGACTGGGCAGTAGGTCCGCATGGACAGCAGAGACGAGAGATACCCCTTCCCCTTAGGATCCCTCATCCGACCCAAGCCCTGGGTTGCACACAGCCTGCTCCCTCTGACCCTCACCCCAAAGCCATGGGATAGCATGTCTCCCCAGTGAGGCCTCCCTGTTGCCTTGCTAGAAGACCGCAGGGACAGGTGTTGATGATCCTGAAGGCCTTACCTCAGCAGGAGAAAACTTGTCTGCCTGAGTCAGGAGAAGCTGCTTGAACCTGAAAGTGGAGAGGCAGGGTGGCCTGGGCCCAGGGAGAGGCTGGCCCCACAGGTGGCTGCTCCACCCTCTGTCCTCGAAGTGGCCCTGACACAGAGGGGAGCAGCGGGTTTGTACTTACTCATCCTTGTTCACCACCCCCTGGCCACTGGAGTCAAACATGCGGAAGGCACTCAGGATGGCTTCTTCTGGGTCAGTCCCTGGAAGGCCGAGGCAGGCAGGTGGGTGAACACTTGTCCTAGCCCCCAGGCCCACCCAGGAGGACCAGGGGCACAGCGAGCTCCCTGTGACCCAGAAGTGGTGGTGGTAGGGGGCTAGGAATAGCCGTCTTCTGAGGAGGTGGGCCTGACTAGGAGCCTGGGACCCCAAAGGGAACAGCACTGGGTGGCCAGGGGTGGCTACAGGTGGTGTGGGTGGGCTGTGGCCAGGCAGAGTGCAGACAAGGCCCAGGTGGGCTGGTAGGGTACAGGTGGGCTTCCGCTGAGATTCACGGGGTTCAGGCCTCTGTCTGCCAAGGGGCCCCAGCTCACCATTGAGCTTCTCCCCGAAGAGTGTGAGAAAGACGGTGAAGTTGATGGGGCCCTTCCCCTCCTGCAGCATGGCATCCAGCTCCTCATCTGGGACGCTCACCTTCCCTGTGGGAGTGGGGCGGGGAGGAGCACAGGGACCCTGGCGTCCCAGAGCAGAGTGGAGCTGCCCTCCCTACCTCCCTGCTATGGGGGCCTGGGCAGGAAGAGGGAGGATGAAGGGGGAGGAGGGGAGGTTCCCTCTGTGGTTTCCTGGGCAGGGCAGGGTGGGCTGCGCGAGGTGGGGCTCACCCAGCTGAGAGTAGGTCTCCTTCAGGTCCGCCTTGCAGATGATACCATCCCGGTTCTGATCGATGCAGCTGAAGGCCTGTGAGGAGAAGGCTTCTGGAGGGAGTTGGAGGACCAGGGCTAGGAAGCCTGAACCACAGAGGAGGGGACCCCAGAAGGGTGGGAGTTATTGGGGGGATGGACTCACTTCCTTGAACTCCTGGATCTGGGCTTGTTCAAACATGGAGAAGACATTGGAGGAGCCTCGCTGGGCCTGCTTGGTGGCAGCCTTGCCCCGTGTCCCAGCCTTCCTGCTAGCCTGCAATACCCACAGAGGCAGGTTCCTTCCACAGTTCCCCTGAATCTCCTCTCCCCACCCCAAACTTCCAGCACGGCCCAAGGGAGGGCCCTCTCTCCCTCCCTGGGGACACTTCCCTGGGCCCAGCACAGCCACAAAAGGCCCTGGCTCTGTCACACCTGGCCCCAGCACTAGTGCCTAGACACCAGCACTCACCATCCTCTTCCCAGTCACCCAGCTGCACCCTCTTGTCACCAGACCCCCTTTATGTCACTGCCTTATCACCTGGAGGTCCAAATAAGGAAAAGAGTGGAGGACAGGCCCAAACTTGGCAGCCCCTGCCTGAGTCCAGGGAGGACGAGGGCCCCAAGCAGATTCCAACCACATTCCTGGGGACCTTCCTGCCCACGACATGTAATATCCCAGGCTCCAAGCATCTCATGTGTCCAGGCTCCATGTCTCCCCACGACACAGTGGCTCTGAGTGCTTGCCAGGCCCTGTTACCCCATCCAGCTGTCCTTCCTACAGGTCTGGTTCAGAGCCTGACCAGTCCAGTCCCCACCCTCTGGGCTGAGGAGAGAGATGGGTTTGGGCCTGAGAGCCCAGGATTCTTAGAGCTCTTGTTGAAGACCAAGGGACAGAAGGCAGTAGTTCTGAGCTGGCAGTTACTCCATAGAATCCTCGCTCACTTTGGAACAATTCTGGGGGTAAAAGGTGCACTGGCTCCCATGTCCACCTCTACCTTTGCTGCTGCAGGATCCTCCAAGGAGACAACCCTTCCCCCTGGGCTTGGAGTCTTGCTGTCCCAAGAGCCTATCTCAACTCCACCTTCTTTGGAAACCTCTTTGGGAGGTTTGGGCATGTTGCCAGTTTTGTTGGTGATGGCTGATGGCTTTGTAGCCTCCTCCTGGGCACCCAGCCTGGTCAGCACCAGTACTTGAAGGGCCTGGCACAAACCAGGTCTATGTGGTGCTGTTCTGCAGGAAGCTTTGGGGGCAGAAACCTCTCTCAGGTGGTGCTAAACTGGGGACAAGGGCCAGGGTGCCCTCCGCTGTCCAGATCAGCAGAAAGGGGGCCTGCCCATTAGCTCAGTTGTTTAAGTGCCTGCTTAAGCAAAGCAGTCAGGCTCAGAAATTTGTGGTTCAATCCCCAGATCATTATGCCTTACCAGACCTGCTCGAAGAGCATACTGAGCCACCCCCCCCCCCAAATAAATCTTTCTGAACTTTTGGGCCAGGGAGATAGCTCAGCCATATAAGTGCCTGGTACCACAAAAACAAACAAACAAAAAACAGATCATCAGAGATAAGGTTAAAGCTAGCAGCTCAGAAAGGTGGGGTTGTTGGACATCTCACTCCACCCCTCTGCGAGGCCCAGAGGCAGGCTGGAAGGGAACAAGGCCCCTTTTCTGTATTTTATAAGGCATCCTTTACTGTCTGAAAATGACATTTATTCACTTCAATTCAGACTATAGTCTACCGTAAAAAGTCAACGAAATGTCTCAGCTGCAATGTGAAGTTGGAAGCCATGAATATTAAACTCCATTCCAAGAATACATGAAGGCTCTAACGTGAACTCACGCATCCCCAAAAATGGAGTAACCACATGCTTGCATCACTTTACAACAAAGAATTTAAGCTCAGGAGCACTCAGGAGGAGGAACAGAAGTAATTTCACACTTGAAATACCAGGACATGAGAAGATTTCAGGAGGACGTGATTTTGAAAAAAACCACAACTTTGGCTTAAATTCTGAATGAAACACAGTTTCTGACTTGCTGGGTGGTTTCCTGCATGGAGAAGTGAGCATGCACTGAAGTCACACAAGGTGTGTTTTCGTGTCGTTGTGTTTACACTGCGTAGAGATGGCATTAGGCCCTTCTTGGCATTTCATCTGCAGCAGCCTCTGAAAGGACCTTAGAAATAGCATATCTTGTAACCCGGGCCCAATGTCACTGTCTGCATGGCTCTGCAGGGACAGGATCTCACTGAGACCAACCTGCTGCAGGACTAGCCTGTACCCAACTCCAAGAGCCCTGCCAGGCACTCCCACCCCACCCCCACATTCCTTGGGCAGGCAGGGTCACAGCCCTCCTTAGTTCAGTGCCCCAGCTTCCCCTTTCCCATTGCCGTAGCCTGGCCTGTCATACTCCCGGTTCCCCTGGGCACAGCTGGCTGGAAGGGACAGCAAATTTCAAGATACACTCAGGTCTGCAGAAGCTGAGTGTGTGACACCACCTCTTTAGCAACTGCACCCTGGCTCTTATGAACAGAGGTCAAAGAAGGCACAAGCCACAATGAAGCCTTTTACAATTTTTAATTAAAAACTCCATAGTCCCAATCTGGGCACAGAGAGGGTCACATGGCACATAGATGTCCTGATGAGGACAAGACGGGCCCGGGGAAGCCTTCTGAGGTGTAGAGTGCTGTTGGAGGCGTCCTCCTGGGTCACTATGAGAGCCAAGGATGCCATCCTGCCTGTGGGCACAGGTGGAGACCCCCGATGGTGCAGGGACCCCATTGTGGGTCCACAGCAACTCCTGTGAGGAGCCATGGTAGAACCACAAGCCACTAAGGGTGGGACTGTGTGAAGGAAAAGGCCCTGTGGGACCCTTGCAGCCTAGGAAGCACTTCCATGCTGCAGGACCCTTTCCAGTGGGTCCCAGGCCCCCAGAGCCACAGGCAGGAAAACACCAACCCAGGTGACAGTAGCCCACCCTCTCCTTGGGCTCTGGTCTGGTCTGGCCAAGCTTTGGGAGATGCCTGGAGGTCCGGCTATAGCCGATCCACAGGACCCCTTCCCAGGCCTGGCCTGAAGTACACGTCCTTCCTGGGGCTGGCCCACGCCAGGCAGGCAGCCCCCAGAGTAGGCAGCGCAGAACTGCAAAGTCCTGAGTGATCCATTCCTTCTGGGCACTCGATTCCAGCAAGGAAGCCAAGGGGTGTCAGAGTCTCTGTGCCTGCTTCTCCTGGCGGGCCCTCCAGGGGTCTCTCCAGTCCTCAGAGCAGCGGTGGCCCTGCGGCTGCGCCCTCGCGGGCCCTTACTGGCCCAGCATGCAGGCCTTCTTGCAGGCCACTGCGGACACCAGCGCTGCGCCGCGGCCGCTGCCCTCCTCGGACTCGATGAAAGTGATCTCGCAGCGGGGCGCCAGTCGGCGCACGCTGGCGTGGAACCTCTCCTTGAAGCTGGACGGAGGAATAGGATTAGGGTTTGGGAAAGAGTCCCCAAGCAGCCTGTCTGCCCACCCGTCCGCCCGTCTGTCCATCGGGGGCTCACCTGGGGTGCAACTTGTACACCGAGCCGTCCACGCCCACTGTGATGCGCATCACGTCCTGGCTGCGGCTCTCGCGCATGCGGTTAATGACGCCTGCCAGCCCCGCGGAGCACATGTGCGCAGCGCGCGTGGACACGCTCTCGCAGGCGCGGCGCACGATGTCGCAGTCGGTGGTGGAGGGCCGCAGCCCCAGGGTGCTCAGGATGTTGTGGATCTGCTTGCGGTCACCCGGGTCGCTGCAGGGCGAGGCGGGGAGGTGTCGCTCAGGCTCAGTAGCTCACCATGGCACCCCCATCCCTCAGCCTGAATCTCTGCTCTAGCGACACGGCCGTGGCTCACAGCAGCAGCGGACCGAGCGAGTAGGGAGCCTGCGGGGCTCGGGCGCGCTTCCGGCTCGCTCCCCGAGGGCTTCAGCCTCCCCTGGGATCCTGCCCCAAGTTCTTCCGCGCTGGTAGCCCTTCAGGTCCCCGCCCCGCCCAAGCCCTGTCCAAGCCCCGCCCCGTGCCCACCTCTCCACCTGCGACACGAAGCGCGTCTCGAAGGCGCCGCGCGTGCGCAGCTGCTCCGAGGCCTCACCGTGGAACAGCAGGTTTTCGTCCACCAGCTTGAGCAAAACGAGCCTCACCAGCTCACCCATGTACTTCCCGCCGATGAGCTTTTCGTACCTGCAGGTGGCGCGTCGGTTATATGGGCCCAACGCTTCGGCGCGGTTCCCAGGCTGCCCCGTGGGGCGCTGTGACACCTCTGCCCACCCCACCCGGAATGCCCAGATTTCTGGGTTTCCCGCTGTCTTATACTTTGCGGAAACTTCAGCGTGAGGAATCTCGAGTGCAGCCCCTTGAGGGCGCTGGGCGGCGCTGCTGCTGGGCCCATACACGGAGGGATGGGGTTGGGGCTCTGCGAAGGCTGCAGTTGTCTCATCGGCCAAGCAGGTGGGGAAACTGAGGTCCAGAGGAGTACTGCTCAGCCTGAGGCACACCCCATGGTGTGGTGTGGCACGTTCTTACTCTGTAAACCCGCGTGTTTTTTTTTTTTTTTTTTTTTTGTGGCCCTGTGTATTTTCTTCTTGAAATACATTTAATCCTCCTGGCCTAATAAGTTCCCGAGATGAGGCTCAGAAAGTTCTTAGCAGGCTCCAGGAACCTCGCAAGTGGCTAGCAAGTGACAGCTGCGGTTAAGGACAAGCTCAGCGTGGGTTTCCCAGATGAACTCTGCCACCTGCAGCATTGCACAAAATATCCTCATTCTGGAATGGGACGAGCCTATGCTTTGAGGAACTCTGGGTGTCACCTGGTCAGCCCTACTCTGTGCCCTGGATCACCCGTGAGAAGGGGAGAGGTGCGGTCCGATGTAATCACAACCACCCCTGCACATCCTACTGTTGCATTCAACCATGGCAGGCCAGGAGCCGGCCGAGGGAAGGAGGATCTGGATGTTTAGAGATGGTTAACTGCTGCTGCCCTCAGGGAGCAGCCGAGCGGGGTGGGGGCGTCCTTACAGCTGCTGACCGGGGTTCACGGAGCTCTCATCCACCATGCGGTCATACTCCAGCAGGAACTCATCCAGCTCGCCAGAGTCCCCAAAGGCGCCCCACTCGGTGTTGACGCACATGCGGCCCTCATCCCCTTCCACCAGCTCCACATTCTGCATCTCTTCCATGTAGCAGGCGTTGCAGCCTGTGCCTGTGGGGACAGTGCGCATCAGGCCTCAGAGCTGCAGGGCTGGCCCAGTGACCCAGGAAGAACCTGCCAGTGTCCTTCAGAGAAAAGGACGGGAACACCGTCCACGCTGTTAGGTTTAGATCTAAAATGGCCCCAAAGACTCAGCGTTTGGAAGGTGATTGGGTTACCAGGATGCTGTTGCTGACTTGCTGTTAGAAAATGGAATTGGTGAGGATGGGAAGCTACTGGGGGCGTGGCTGCTTCCCTCCTCGGCCCCTCCCTTGGCAGGAGCAGCCTTCCTCTGCCCAGACCCTCCATCATGTAAGGACTGAAACTTCTAAAACGTCCTCAAAGTTGTGGGTGTCGGGTTATTGGAAAGTGAGGAGGATACCCCCTCACTTCTAGGGTGGCTGAGATTCGAGGCTGCGGCAGTGCACTTTGCCAGCCAGCAATGGATGTGAGATATTCTGCTCTTGTGTCCTGGTACCCTGAATGCACGTCACTAAGCCACTCAGCCCTGGGCCCTGTTTGATGTGAGCCTTGGAACAGCTCAGAGGCCATTACAGGCAGCATTTACTTCAGTTTGTCACTTGCAGTGCCAGTGCAAGGTGAACATGTGGCATCCTTTAGCCGTAAGTTACAGAGAGTTTTTTTTTTTTTTTCTTTCCCCCGGAACCGGGGATTGAACTCAGGCCCTTGTGCTTGCTAGGGAAGCGCTTATTCCACTGAGCCATCTTCCCAGCCCTACAGAGAGTTTTGATAGCAGTGCCATAGATGCCGTAGCATTACACCCGGTGCAGCTGCATGGGCCACACGGCTCTGGAGCTCTGAGTGACAACACTGCTATGCAGGGTGCCTGCCCTTCTAGGTTTTTTTTTTTTTTTTTTGGTAAAACCCAGAAATTTGGACTTTGATGTGAAGTCCCCAGGTTCTAGGCTTTACTACAAACAAGATTTTAAACACCAGGTGTTTGTGGGCACCAAAGGGTACCATTGGGAAAGAAGGGTGTTCTTGGGCCTGAGCAGCGCAGCCTGGTGGGGTGAGAACTCAGGCTGAGGCGCGTTGGCCTCTGCAGGAGGGGCACAGCCTGGGACAGCAGGGTTCATGCGTAGGTGTTGGACTGAAGGACAACTTTCCATCCTGACGGTGAGGATGGAAGCAGAAGGGGGAAATGGGCAGAGAGGTAAAGCAAGGCCAGGCTGGTGCTGGAGAGAGACGCTCACGTTAGTCTGCAGTGTTGTTGCTGCTGTGTGCCCAGGTGCAATGTATGTTCTGTATAAAACATAGAAACAATGTGGGGGGGCATAACTATAGCTGGGCGCCTGCTCGAATACATGAGCTTGCAGAACTGGTTCAGAAGGGCTCATAGGAGGAAATCCTGAGTAGCCAGGGCTCAGGAGCCCAGGGGCATGGCAGGTGACAGACAGGGTATGGGGGCTGTGGCTCCTGTTGGTGCCTGTTCCCCTGGGCGGGGGTGGCCTCTGGGAGTGGGAATATGGGTTTGGGGTGGGGCCAGGCAGCCATGGAAAGACTTTCTTGGAAAGGGTGATGCCACTTTTGTGATGCTCTTCCACTTGGACAAATCTGCCCAGTGTGGCTAATTAACGGGATAAAGCAGTTTAATTGCATCTGGTGTGTGTTTGCAGCTGGGGCCCCTGTGATATCATGGCGCTGTGAGTGTTGAATTTTCCTACAGCACACAGTGCCTGCACCACCACATCCCCTGGCCACTGGCCCTGGCACCAGGCCCTGCGCCGCCTGCACTGAGTGTTACTGCATTGTCCCTCACGCTGCCCCCTTAAGCCCTCTGCAGCCTGGGAGGGGCAAGGAGCCCTTACCCACGATCATGCCGACCTCACATTGGCGGTCTTCATAGTAGCAGGAGATCATTGTGGCAACTGTGTCGTTCACCATGGCCACCACATCCATCTCAAAGTCCTGCCAACGAGCATGAAATAAGCCAGCCATAGAGGTGCTTAATCCCAATGCGCTGGGAGCTGGTGCAGGAGGACTGCAAGTTGGAGGCCAGACTGGGCAGCCTTCCTTGGCTCAAAAAATAGAAAAAGGCCAAGGGTGTTGCTCAGGGCAAAGGCTCTGGACTCATCTCCCAGGAGTGTAAAGAAGAGAGAAGAGGAGAAGGAAGAAGAGGAGGAAGTGGTGCTGAGGAGCAGAAACTGAGATGATGGGGAGGGGGGAAGGATGGTGGCAGGTCCACCCCTCTAAGCAGGTGAAGGTGTCCTCACCCCTCTCCTCTTGATGGCATCTCGAAGAAGCCCCACGATGTTGTTCCCTTCTGCTCCTGAGGCTTTGAAGCCCTTGGTCCAGTTGAGAAGGATGCCCTGTGGGGTGAGGCAGTTCATGCCACTGGCTCTGGGCAGGAAGCTGGCCCTAAACCAGCTCCTTCTGGCCAGAGGGACGTGTGCCCCCATGGGACAGTTGAGGAAGCAGGCTGTTGGCATCCACACTGCTCTGAGAGTTGCCGGGGTGGTTCTTCATGAAGAGCTCATCTTTCCCCAGGGCTGGGGCCCAGCCAATTTAAGAATATGATTGTGAGAGTGTGTGTGTGTGTGTGTGTGTGTGTGTGTGTGTTACCGGATGTTGAGCCCAGGCCTCAAACATGGAAGGCAATTGGCCTACTGCTCAGCTGCAGTTCCAGCCCTAGAATGTCCAGACAATAAATCTCCAAGATGTTACCCTAGAAGAGCAAGGCAGGTCCCCAGAGGAGCAGTGCTGTCTGATAAGATCAGGGTTCCTCCCGTGAAGCCCCCTGCTGCCCGCCCTCTGCAGGGTCAGGGACTTGAGAAACTGCGAGATGTTGCTCTGACTGCTTTCACCCTGAGCCGTGGCCTGGCTTGGTTTCTGCCCACCCTAGAGGCCTCACGTTTGCATCTGTATACCAGCTCTGTGCACGCGCACATTGTGTGCATCCGTGCATGTGCGTGCGCACAAGGGCAGTGGCCCGCGTCTGCTACGCTCTCTGCTGTGGACAGTAACGATCAGCGAACTGTGCCCATTTTCCAAGGCCTCTCAGGCTGTGGTGACAGGGCAGCCATGCGGCCCACAGCTTCTCCTCCTGTGTGCCGCCCTCCGTTCCCCGCCCTGCCCTCCACCTGGCCACCTTGTCGATGTCCTCGTGCCTCACGGGGAAGGAGAAAGTGAAGCCCAGGGGCAGCTTCTTGTGCTTCATCTGGTGCTTGTCCAGGAAGTCAGAGATGCACTCAGAGATGTAGTCAAAGAGCTGGAAGACACATTGAGGCGACCACTGGGCATAGCGGGTCCAGCCTGCAGCCCTCTGGCCGGCATCACAGTGCTCCCTGGGGTGCTCAGCTTGCCTGCTGCGGTGAGTCACTGTACCTCCCCAATGGCAGCCCTGGTCCCCAGCCCAGATGTGACATCAGCCCAGTCCCCACTAGATCCCATCAAGCCAGGCTGGCTGCTCTGCGAGATGGGCATATTCCTGGCCATAGCTAGGAGCCGTCTCCTTCGCTACTTCCAGATGTCCTGGTTACCCCAACCCCTAGCTGCCTCTGACGGGCCTGTCCTCAGAGCTGGTGGTTCTTCAAATGAACCAAGGGCCCTTCTGGGCACCAGGGCCCAGGGAGATGCTCATGCCATGCATGCTGCCCATTTCTGCCAACAGACAGCAAGTTGTAGGTAGGTGAGGGCGGGGCAGTGTATGTGTGGGGTTTCTGCCCGGAACCCAGCCCCTTGGGACTGCTCAAGTTTTTTGAGGCAGGATCTTGGTATGAAGCTCAGCCTGGCTTTGTACTCACTATGTAGTTTGGGCTGGCCCCAACTCATGGTGGTCCTCTTGCCTCAGCCTCCTGAGTGCTAGAGTTACAGGTGTACACTACCACATCCTGCTGATTTTTTTTTTTTTTTTTTTGTACTGGGGATTGAACTCAGGACCTTGTGCTTGCCAGGCAAGCATTTATTCTACTGAGCTATGTCCCCGGCCCACCCTGATGAATTTATAGATGTTGACTTTTCCTCTGGAAAAATAGAATCACTCGTTGGGCCAGGGGGAGGTCTTTGTCACTGTAGCCTCTCCAGGCCAATGAATCTCTCCCACAATGCAATGACCATGGGACTTGGCCTGGTTGACCAGGCCTAGAGTCTGTCTGCTCAGGCCTCTGAGCCATCTACGGCGCAGTGCATGGGTAGGTGGGTGGGTGGCTGGGCCCTGGGCTCTGGGTGCCCTCACCCCTGCCTGCCAGGCCTCTGAGTTGCTCACCATCTCTGCGGTGCCCGTCATGGCGTCCTCAGGGATGGAGTACATCTGGTGTTTGGTCTTCACGCTCCACTGTCCCTCCTCTCCCTCCCCCACCTTCACCAGCATCACCCTGAAGTTGGTGCCCCCCAGGTCCAGGGACAGGAAATCTCCAACTTCTGCAGACAAAGAGAGACACGCTGGCACTGTCTGGCAGGATTGGGCAGGGAAGGACCCAGGCAGCTTGCCTGGGAACAGATCTAAGAGGTCAGGTACAGGGCAGGGTGGCAGGTATGGGGTCACCAGCCCAGACCCTGGGGCCAAGTGGGAGGTCTCGAAGCACACTGGAGAAATGTCCATGGGAACCCCCAGTGTTAGACCGCAGGAGTCACTGAGGGTCTGAGCCTGCACTCAAGATGGGACTGAGGCCCCAGGGAGCATGGAGAGAGGTCCCTCTGTAAGATTCAAAAGCCAGGGCTAGGCCTGCAGAGCCAAGAGTGGGCGAGTTGGGGACATGGTCGCTTGCCCAGGGATCCTTTCTGAGGACAGCGGAGCCTTTGGCAGTGCCGTCCCTGCGGTACCTGAGCCTTCTGGGGTGGAACGCACGTAGGTGGGCAGCATCTTCACACTGGCCTCCTCATGGGTCTCCAGCCTCAGGCCACGGTCCATTTCCTTCTGCATCCGCCGCATCACCTTCTTCAGGTCCTCCTCCTGTAGCTGGAACTCTGCCAGGATCTGTTCTGCCTGCAGGGAGGGTGCACACAAATGAGCGTCTCCTGCTGTCCCCTGACCGTGGGTCCTGGGTGCTCCATCTTGCCACATGGCCCACCACAGTTGAAGGGGAAGCATTCCAGGATCAGCCCTGATGGTTACCCTGGGCATACTGGACAGGAGAGCGGCTTTTGTCCCTGGTGCTGTCCTTGTGGCCCAATGTCTGAGAGCACCTTTGGGTGGCCCTCAGATCAAGGCAAAGGGAGGAGGAGGGCACTACTTAGGCAACTGGAAAGACAAGGCTGGAGCCAGTCAGGAGGGTGGATAGTTGGCATCACTGGACAAAGACCTGGCTGCCCTTCCTCTAGGACTTCCTGGAACAAATGACAGCTAACACTGGTGTACACAAGGCAGCCGAGGCAAGGCTGGTCCACGTGAGCTGCTGTGCCTATCCCCTGCCCACTGGGGGTCTGCTGGGCAGGCACGGCATCTATGGTGTGGGAGCTGAACCCTGGACAGGGCTCTGCATTGGTATGAGGCCAGGGCCTGAGATTCGGCCAGCAGCACTTCAGTGGGTGCCTGACAAAGGCCCTGCCCTGGGGTTCCCAGTGAGCACAGCCATGCTTCTGTTCCCTTTGCCCAGCACTGCCTGTTCATGGAGAAGGGCCCCCCCCATACACTGGACAGTGGTAAGAAAAGCAGTCATAAAGATGCTTTCAAGCCAGACACAGGAGCCTTCCATTCTAGGAGGCTGAGGCAGGAAGATTTCAGGCTTGAACTCAGCCTGGGCAATTTAGCAACTTAATGAGACTGTCTTAAAGAAAAAAAAAATTTTTTTAAGGGCTGGAGATGTAGCTCAGTGGTAAGGCTCTGGGTTCAATCCCCACCACTGCAAGCAAAAACAAACAAAAAGCCCCAAAGATATTTGCCTTTTTTTTTTGAGCAAAACAGAAAAAGTCAAAACACTGGCAAAGGCCATGAAGACCCACTCTGTCGGAGCTTGCTCTCTCGTCTTACACACGAGCTCTGCGGGCGGAGATGCTCCGGGTTACAGCTAGGAGGTGGCAGCACGCCCTTTGCTACCTCTTCAGTGTTTTAGAGCCTGGATTTTGTTCAGGTGGCAGGGTGCCACATCAAGCCATGAGTGGACTTGGCAAAGCGCAGCAGTTCTATCTTTTCTGGCAATTGGACATACGACCCAGTTGTGGTCAATGGCAAGTGAGAGAAGACTGACTTTAGCAGGAGGGAGAATTACAAGGCTCCCTTAAATTTGTGAGTAGGGGGAGATGGCTCAGTAGAATAAGCACTTCCTTGGCAAACGCAAGGACCTGAGTTCAATCCCTGGTTCCGCAAAAAAAAAAAAAAAAAAAGTTGTGAGCAAGGCTGTAGGAGGGTGTGACGGTCGCCCCTGCAACAACCATCTTGAGACTATGAGGCGATTCGGCTGTCAGCTCCCTTGGCTGGCTATGAAGCAAATAGCCACTGAAGCCACAGGTAGTGAGAACACGGATTTCCTGCAACCCAAAGCATTCCTAATGGATCTAGATCCTTAGTTAACCATTTTTGCAAAGGGCCCCACACTTGTGCTTTTACCCAGGGCTCGGACAACAGGCTCATCCCTGCCCTGGCACACTGTTCTGCCACTGTTCTGCGGCTGGGGTCTTGGGAGGATAAGGCGACCGTGTGTGTGTGTGTGTGTGTGTGTGTGTGTGTGTGTGTGATCCTGGGGAATATCCTTCTGGAGATGCAGAGGTCAGCCCAAAATGTGGAAATTCCTTAGGGCCACAGGGCTCACTGGGCATCCTGGTTGGGCACCAGAGGAGAGGTGTGGGGAAGTCTGACAGGATGGGGGGGTGGGGCTGGCTTGGAGATCCCACCCCTAGAATGCGGTAAAAATGGTACCACAGAGGGCTGGATTAGATGGGGAGGCTAGCCAGTGATGGTCTCTGGCCAGCACTGGGAGACACCCCCACAGGACCCCAGAACACCTGTCTAAGGGGTCCAGAGCCTCCCCAGGGGAGCCTGGCCCTTTCACTCCCAGGTGCTGGTGTCACCGTGTGCGGTGCAGCTGTACACATGCTTCTGAGGAAGATCATTGCACTCTACCACCCCCAAAATGGCCACAGGAAGCCCAAAAGCTGACAGCACCAGGCAGAGTGACAGCTAGGCACTTTCAGCCCAGGAGCAAGGGCTCCCAGAGAGGGGCGGCAGCAGGCCCCTGAGGAGGGCCGTATCCAGGACCCCAGAGCGTGCACACCTGCAAGGGTTCCCTGCCTGCTCAGCACCCTTACCCCCAACCTGGCTCCTACAAACTGAGGGTGCTGGGTGACCCTTACCAGTGTCAGGGCTGCCTGGGCTCGGGTCCTGGCCTCGTCCATGGCCGTCTGTCTGAGGGGCCAACAGGGAGTTTTGGGCCGTGGAGCAGCTGCTGCCTGCTGAGGCTGGAGCAGCCTGCCACTGTCGCAGCTGAGGATACCTGGTGCAGGTGAGGCTGCCTGGCTGACAGGTGCCCAAGGCAGGCAGCCCAGGGATTCTGCACTAAAACAGTCAGCGGGCAGCTACTGAAATACTCTGCCCACTGTGGCGGGGCCAGGGGCAGGGCCAGAGGGCAGCGGAGGCTCACCGGGTCAGGGCTGCCAAGGGCCCTGGGGACAGGGCTGTAGGGCAGGCTGCCATGCCCGCAGAGCATGGGTTGGGATTGCTGCTGGGGCTGTGGCCGAGCCAGTGTGTCACCCTGCTCTCTTGGGCACTCAGCAGAAAGAGGTAACTAGGCTATCTGGAGGTGACAGGAAGGGGGATCCCTTGGACTCCCATTCACAGGAGGCCTGGTGTGCATTGTGAAGGATTTAGGGTACCACACAGTGCTCTAATGGAAGGGGTGACTCATGCTGAGAAGGCCAGGGTCATGCCAGAAGGGCATGGCTCCAACCAGGATGGGGGACCCAAATGAGCAGCAAAGGATCCAGGGCTCAGATGTCCAGGGAAGCCTCGACGACTCAAGGGTGTAAGTCCCCCAAGCCCAGTGACACAAAGCTTCCTGAAGCAGGTGCATGTCCCCAGCGTTACCCTGAGTGACCCCCAAATAGTAAAGTTAGCTAGTTATCTCCTAATACAAGTTTTAATCAGCACTTTTTAACTGTCGATCATAGATCTCACCTCAAAGTGCCTTAATCTGGAAAACAAAACAATCACCTAATAAAGTGAGACAGTCATTAGGTTTTGTGACTGCAAATTTCGGGCCCAGAGCTGCCTCACGGCGTACCTGTGGGGTGGAGATGCACCCTGATCTCTCCTCTCGTGCTTGCCTGGGAATGACCCCAAAGACCCTGCCCTGTCTGATAGTTTCCAAACCCTGCTAAAATTAGCCACAGTTGGCAGGCAACCAGGGTACAGAGGGTGCCTCGTAAGGATGCCGGGTTCATCCACCAATGGCCGTTGTGGTCACCCCCCGACTCGATCGATCCTCTTCCCCAAATCAGCAAAGACAGCCTCACCAGACCTCATGTGACAGGTCGCTGACACCCCTGCCCATTTGCTATAGGGGCAGAGCCTGACTTGGGAGCTGGCCAGGCCCTGGAGTATTGCCGCCCACCTGGGCTGCACCACGGCACAGTAAGGAGGGCCCAGCTCTTTGTGCTCTGTTCCTTGGGTGGCGGAGGTGCGGGACGTGGGCCAAGAACGTGTGTGTGTGTGTGTGTGTGTGTGTGTGTGCGCGAGTGCACGTGGGGGGGGGCATAGCCATTGGACCTAAAGCCTTTGCATTGAGCTATAAACCCAGCTTGTTATATTGTTTTAGTCTGAGACAGGGTCTACCAAAGTTGCACAGACTGGCCTCAAACGTGGGATCCTCCTGCTTCACACCGCACTGAGCAGCTGGGATTACAGGTGCATGCCACCATACGTGCCTCTGCTTAGAATTTCTAGAAAAAGCCCTAGAGTTATGTGATAACAGGCCAGGATGTGTTAGTAGACAGTGAGCTCCCTGTTGGGGTTGAGGGCAGCAGATCAGAACGGCCCTGTTCTGTGTCCCAATTGATTTCCCTGCCCTAGCTGTTCAAGGAGCCACCTCACAGGCCTGACCTGATTTTTATTTTCATTTATCCCAGTAATTCCATTTATCTCAGTATTACAGATTTAGTGATGGCTATTCAAGATGATTCCTTCTGGTATCAAAAAAATGGCACAGAGCCCACACATCCAAATGCTGTGTAGGGAATTATGCAACATGCAGCCATTGAAAATGGTAAAGCTGGGCACAGTGGTGCACATCTATAATCCCTGCACTTGGGAGGCTGAGGCAGGAGGATTGCTGTGAGTTCAAGGCCAGGCTGGGCTACATAGTGGGTTCAAGATCAGTCTAAACCACACCTGGCTTAAAGGGATTTACAGGAACCCAGGGGTCACCCCTGGGGATTCTCCACTAAGCCTGGCCTGTTTTGTCCTCTCCCATGATCACCACATCTCACCTGGGCAAATGAAAGGAGTGTGACTGGAGGCCCGGCCACGAAGGACAGGTGGCTCCTGTCTTTGTGTGCATCATAGGCGAGGCCAGCTACCACCCTGTGGGACACACAGACCCTTGGGAAGATCTAACCCAGAAGGAGGCCCCCACTGCCAGGCTGCACCCTGCTGGGCCTGAGAGAACCACCCGGAAATGGCTCCCAGTCTGTCACAGCTTCAGGTATTCAGCCCAGCCAGGCCCCGAGTTTCTGCCCTGCAGAGGCAGCAAGGATTTGTTGGTCACTGAGTCTTGAGGTGATGCATTCCATAGGTGATAATTACATGTGGAAAACAGAAGACACGGTATGATCCATGTTGCCACAGGTATGTGCGAATGCTATACGTAACATACATCTGGAAGAGCTAGGCGCAGTGGGGCGCTCCTGTAATCCCAGCTGCTCCAGAGGCTGAGGCAGGAGGGTCGCAAGTTCACGACCAGTCTGAGCAGCTAGATGAGACCCTGACTCACAGCACAATGAAAAGGGCTCGGATGTGCTCCAGGAAAGGCCATGCTCAACGCCCACACCGAAGAGAAGGACAAAGCTAGAAAGGTTACGTCTTATCTACTATTTTTGCTCAGAAGTTCTGGCTCTGAAGGACAGAGGCCCACAGCTAAGGGGGCCAAAATGCCAGACCTCCATCCTGTGCAAAGGCATGCAGGGCGAGGAAGGCCAGAGCCCACCATGCCAGCCTTCCTCCTGGCCTGGCCTCACTCTGCCCCCCAGCGTCTGGCACCGAGCGAGGGCCACTGATGCAACAAGGCCTGGAGGTCATGAGTGTTGCAAGTGTTTGTTCTCTGCAGGGCAGATTGGAGCCCAGCTGAGGGGCAGGCCAGGGCCTGTGAGGGGGAGAGTGGTGGGCTGCTGCAGGGATTCAGGGCCAGGAGGCCAGGGAAGCGGGCAACGGGGAGCTGGGATAGGCGACAGCAAAGTATGCTGCGTCAGATGTCACAGGTGGTCTGCGATAGCAGACCCTGACATGGGTTACACCAGGCCTGTGTGCTGTGAGGAGACTGAGGCCCCAGGGAGGGGAGGGTCTTCTAGGGTGCGCCAGCCAGAAGGCACTAGGCCAGGACCCACCGGGGCCGTCCTGATTCCAGGAGTGGAAGAGTTTAGCCTCCATGTCTGGATGTGGCGCTCTTCAGAGCCAAGTAGGAATGTGAGGTCCCCTGCAGGAGCCCAGAGGCCAACTCTGCCACTCACTGGCCCAGGAGCATCAAGAAAGTCTCCTTAAATTTCCACACTTTGGTTTTCTTGTCATCAAAAAGTTGTCAAAGCTCGCCTTCCTCAGAGGGCTACGGGGGGGAGGGGAGGTTGGAGATGCGTGGGAGGGCGGGGGGGGGGGGGGAGGGGTTGCAGGACAGTGCAGATAAGGCTCGACAGCCCCGGGTAGGTCAATACCTTGTGGCTACTCTGCCGCCACCAAGGGTCAGAACTGAGGACACCGGCAGACCCTCTCCCTGTGGCAGGTCTGATGCCAAACTCCCACCCTTCGCCTCTGCTCCTACTCTGAGCCAGTGAAGCTCCTGTCTGAAAAGGGAACAACCGGGGGGATATCTTTAGAAATGGAGGAGCAAGAAGTTCAAGGAGTTACGCCTCTGTCTACACAGCCATTCAGTTTTCTGTGCTGTCAGCATGTGGCTGGAGCAAGGTGGGCAGAGGGGATCTTGTCTTCCAGAAGTTCAGGTTGCGCCTCTCGGTTGATGTGCTGGGTGCCTGAGAGCCCATCGCACCGCTTTCCTTTGTTTCTGGCCCCCAGGGCTGCAGAGCTACCCTGGTGGAAAGCTAGCAGAAGACTTAGAGATGTACATGCTGGGGTTTCTGGTTTTTAAAAAACATATCTATATGTTGGTTCCACATGCCACGCGGACCCTGACCCAGGGTGCACTGAGCTGGCACCTGAGTCTGGGCGTGGTGGCGCACACCTGTAATCCCAGCACTGGGGAGGCTGAAAACAGGAGGATCACTACAAGTCTGAGCTGCGTAGTGAGACCCTGTACCAAATACATAGATGAAAAAAAAATATCTATACATTTAAGACGTCATATTTCTGGTCACAGGCTAACTGTAGAAACCACAGAACAGAAATACAAGTCATCACACATAGGAAAGAACACAGGCTTAGCAAAAATAGTCAAGAACAATCACAATACAAGTGGACCACTGCAGACTTCAACAAGCAAAATATGAGAGGGAGAATCCCGTTTCCAGGGTTACCATGCAGTACTACTCTGAATGACTAGCTCTCAAAATACTACAAACCACACAAAGATATAGAAAATACAGCCTAATCATAGGAAAAAAATAATTCAAAACTATTCTTAAGAACTATTCCTGCCTGTAATCCTAGTACTTGGGAGGCTGAGGTAAGAGGATCATTGTGAGTTTGAAACCATCCTGGGCTACAGAGTACATAGTGAGCTGAAGGCCAGCCCCAACTGCATAGTGAGACCCTGGCTTTTTCTTTCTTTCTTTTCTTTTTCTTTTTTTTTTTTAATTAATTAATTAATTTATTTATTTATTTTGTGTGTGTGGCCAGTTCAGCCCACCAGGGGGCGGCCCCCCGGGGCTGGCTGGCATGTGGTGCTGGGGATTGAACC